CCCGCCGCGGCCCGGGCTCGCTTCGTCGCCGCCACAGCCACGGTTGCCTCGGCTCCGCCGCAGCCTCTGCCGCCTCTGCTCCGGCTGCGACCCCAACTGAGATCGAGACCTCAGTCCCTGCCCCGCCCCAGACCGCAGTCGGGCCAACTTCTGCCCAGGCCGGGACACCGGCGCCAGCCCCGGAGGCCCAGTCGTGGGACCATGCTGCCCAGCTCCATCCAGATTTCGGGGGAGCCGCTGTCAGGCGCTGAGGTGCGGGACATCTGCCGCGGCCTGCGCGACAACGCGGTGCGCCTGCTCTCGCTGCGCGGTTGTCGCCTGTGCGACCGCGACTTTGGACGCATCTGCCGGGCCCTAGCTGGAGCCACATCCCTGGCGCAGCTCAACCTTAACCTGGGCGTCGTGTCCAGCCCCAGCCGCATCAAGCAGCTGGCGGAAGCGCTTCGGACCAACCGCTCCATCCAGTCCCTCTTGTGAGTGTGTCCCCTCGCAAGGGGGTCCTGGCTACTGCATCCCCTACCACCTCCTGTATCTCCACATTACCTTCCAGTACCTGTTTTTCCACCGTCCCGCCTTCACAACCTCTAATGCACACCTCATCTTTCTTCTGGGTCCACCACACCCTTCCAGAAACATGGATCATTTCTAGACTTTGCTCCACATTCGGCCCCTCAGGAGAGCTGGAATGCCTAGCTCTTCCTGGTAGGGAATGTCGTTCCTCCCCACCCCATCCCCAGTTACTTCATTATGAAGCCCCTCATTTCTGAGGAAGGATCACCTCCCATGGACTACACCCCAGCCCTTCCCACTGAAAGATCTCAGAGACACCGTGAGCATGTATGCCGGCTCCCCAGTCCACTACCCACACCGTTCCCTGTGCAATGTTCTCATTACCAGTTCCTACAACAGAAAGAAACCAGATTCCCTTTCCATCGTACGCCTTCAAATCTAGAATTTCCGTTTTTCCTCCCATTCTTGTCTCGGGGAGGGGCAGCTTTCTCAGATAAAGCTCGTGATTCAAATTTAATCTCATCTCAACCTTCAGCCTGCACGGGAGCCCACTGACGGACGCGGGACTGGCCTTGCTGAACCCTGCCCTGGCTCTCCACCCTGCCCTTGTGGCTCTTGACCTGGGGGACTGCATGCTGGGTGATGAAGCCATCAACCTCATCTGTGGCCTCCTCCCTCCAGATGGGGCGAAGTCTGGTGAGCAGGGCCCTTCTGAGTGCATGGCCTAGCGACTGAGGAAGGCTGAATGCAGAGAAGGGGGTGTGGCCCAGTGCTGAGAGCTGGGAGGGTGCAGTAAGAATGCCTTCTTACCCTTCTTAGGAAGGGAGAAGTTCAGGGGCTGAGCCAAGTGGAAACAATGGTGATCCAAGCAGGGTAGGTGTGAGTAGGTCCCTAATTGCTCCAGACTACTATGGCTGGGGGCAAGGTGTCTCCTAGCCATTAGGCTAATCCCATAGACGCGTGGTAGAGAAGGGACTGGAGAAGGGTCTGACTCTACCCATCCTGGATTCTAGGTTTGAAGGAGCTAACACTGAGTGCCAACCCTGGTATCACCCCTAAGGGCTGGAGCCGCCTTGCCATTGCTGTGGCCCACAGCTCCCAAGTCCGTGTCCTCAACTTGGACTACAACCCCCTGGGTGAGCTTAAGATCATTCCTTTCAATTTTCACTGCTTCTTCCCCATCCAAAGACCACCAGTTGCCACACATAGTAACCCCCACTCAATGAAGGGAAGATGAATGAAAACCCCCAGAGGTCTTTAAGGAGCCAGATGACCAACAGGTAGGTTAAAGCCTCCATCAGAACCCGTGGATCTGATTCATCTCACTCCCTTCCTGGCCGCTCACCTGCATCTCCCACCAGGCATGGTGGTCCTGACCAGGACTAAGGACTAACAGACCCTGTTATCTCAGGTAGCTGAGAATTTGTGCTGTCTCCCTAGGTGACCATGTGGCAGGGATGCTGGCTGTAGCTGTGGCCTCAAGCCGTACCCTAGAAGTCCTAGACTTGGAGGGCACAGGACTCACCAACCAGTCAGCTCAGGTGAGAGGGCATTATGTTTTGGAGACAAGCTAGGTGAGTGAAATAATCCATGCTGGGGACAGACCCAAGGGCTGCCTAAATTGTGTTCATTATTTGTTTTTATTTGTTTTTGTTTTTTTTTTCAAGACAGGGTTTCTCTGTGTAACCGTCCTGGCGGTCCTGGAACTTGCTTTGTAGACCAAGCTGGCCTCGAACTCACTGAGATCCACCTGCCTCTGCCTCCCAAGTGTGCACCATCACCACCCAGCTTCATTGTTTTAATTTCATAATTTATTTTTTGTGAATGTTTTACCTGTATGTCTGTGGTGCCCATGGAGGTCAGAAGGTGGTGTCAGACCACTTGCATCTGGAGTTAGATGGTGATGAACAGCCATGTGGGGTGCTGGGAAGAGCAGCCATTGGTCTTAACCACTGAGCCACACCTCTCCTGTTCATTCTTTTCTGTACTCTTTTCTCTGTTCCCCAGACCCTACTGGACATGGTAGAAAATTACCCGACAGCTTTGCGGAGCCTGGTGTTGGCTGAGAACAGCATTAGCCCAGAGCTGCAGCAGCAGATCTGTGACCTCCTCTCTGAAGGGGAAGAAGAGGAAGAGGTAGCAGGAGGGGCTGTGGACACCCAGGAGTGGGGGAGAGGCCGGGAGCCTGCTCCCCACCAGCGGGGTAGCAGCTCCTGGATGTGCCCCAGCGGTAAGAACCTGGAGAATGAATGAGAGCTAGGTCTGGAAGATTTGGAACAAGGGGGTGGTGCTGGGAAACCAGGCCATGGCTTTCACCTGTCTGTGACACTCACTAAGGAACATCCTTTGCCCTTTCCCAGATCCCAGCTCTCAGATGGTGCTGATGACATCAGGACTAGGGGACAGTCTGTTGGCTGAGACCGAGATGTGACTCTCCACTTGGGCTCTGCGCATCATTACATTTGTATGTGTCCCACTACCTTCCTCCACATGGCAGGGCAAGGGCCTGGCTGGGGCTCTGGCAGCTGTCACTGGGCAAATAGCCTTGGGGGATGGGGTGGGGACGGGACTTGAACCCAGGGTACTGACTTTGAACTTGTTGGCAGCTCTGGCTGCAACCCGCTGGCTCGGAACAGATTTTATAAACTGCACAACCTGGCTTGTAGCTGTAGTCACTGGGGGATGACCAGTGGGAGGGACTGTCAGTACCACTAATCAGTGCTGGGGGGGATATCACCCTACAGCTCAGACTGTAGGTCAGCCTAGGTCTAGGACCTAGGGGTCCTGGGAGTTCAGACGCCTGAGCGAGAAACTGGGCTGAATTTTGTCCTCCTTGTACAGGAAAGCTTAATATTAGCCCCGGCTGTTATCTGACACCTCCTCCTCATGCCTTGGCCAAGGGAAGCCAGGTAGAATAGGCTAAAGGGGAGTCTCTGGCAAAGACTAGAAGTTGGATTAGAAATGCTTAAATGTTGGACAAGTGTTCAGCAGTTAACACTTGACTTCAGTTCCAGAGTACCAAACCTCTGGTCTCCGTGGGCACCTGCATGCACATCTGCGCACATGCATGCACACACACAAACACTCAAAAAATGTTAGCTAGGCATGGTAGGTCACACCACTAATCCCAGCACTGGAGGCAGAGGGCAGAGGGTTCTGTGAATTCTAGCCCAGTCTGGTCTACATGAGATGCCACTCAAAAATAAAAAATAAGAATGGGGATTATAGTAGGAAGGAGAAAGTCATTAAGACAAATTAAGCCATACCTGTAAAATAAGTTTTATTTGATTTTAAAAATCATTAATGTGAAAATTTTCCAAATCTCAGAGTAACAGTCTAGAGCCAAGGTTAAGAGGGGGCCAGGCCTCACCTGGAGCCTAGCTTGAGGCCCCTAAAGTCCCACCCTCTCTCTGGAAGGGATGGTGGGAACAGTGGAGGGGAGCCCTGAGTGAGTCCACCCTTGTCCCTAGGGCCAGCTGGGCCACGCCTAAGAGCAGCTCATGCAGAGGGAAGAGTAATCAGAGGCCAGTAGCATCAGCGATACCCTCCCCTAACAACCAAAGCTCTTGGATACGAAAGAGGAATGGAAAATGAACACTGGCAAGCTGGGCGCTTCCCCATGGAAACACCTGGGCCGACTAAATGGAGGGAAGAGCTTAGGGCTCTCACTACCTTTGGAGAACAAGCACTCCAAGAGGAAAGGAAAAACTCAGGAGGCAAGCTGGTACCAGTCAGTGCTGACGCAGGTGCAAGACTTGGTGTGGGCCTCACTCACACAGGACACAGCTACCCAGGTCTGAGGAAAGGGTTCAGAAGGCGTCTGCAGCCCTGAGGGGTGGTGGCAGGAAGGCAAGTGGGCTTAGCTGAGCAGGGTGCCCTGTTCCTGAGCCTGTGTTAGGCTGTCCTTGCGGTGCAAGTGGTGTACTCCCATTCTCTTGGGGCTGCGCTGGGGGCGGCTGGAACTGGGGAGTGACCAGGCCCTGCCATCAATGTGGGAAGTACTAGGTCCTTCCCCCGTGCCCTCATTACCAAGCAACAGGCTCTGGCGCTCTTCCTCGGGGCTGATAGGCAGGTTTAGTACTTCCTCTTCCTCTTCCCTGGGAAAGGCAGAGTCAGGCTGTGTTGGTAGCAAAAGTCCACTCTCGTTGTGTGGGGAGGCTTGTGGGTCCTCAGAGTGGCTCGGGGAGAAATGAAGCTGTAGTTCAGGGAGTGCATCGCGTCCAAAGGCTGTGCGCTGGGCCACAGCGGCAGGAGGCGGGGTGCGGTCCACAAATGCACGCTGCCAGCTGGCCAGCAGATCCTCTTCAGAGCTGGCAGAGCTGGCTGGGGCACTGAGTGCTGAGGGGGCTGGACTAGGCTGGTGATGGGGTGAGCCTTGGGCTGAGGCAGGACTGCTAGGCACTGGGCTGCGGTGGACCCGCTCACTCCCCTCCTCCACCAGGCTCAGAGAGATGGCCTGTCGAGTGGCGTAAGTACAGTTGGGAAGGGGGCTGTTGCGTGGAATCCGAATCTTATCCTCAGAAAACTCTATTACCTTCCGCCCAGGATACAATGGGTGTGGCGGAGATGGGGTAGGGTAGGGACTCAACTTCTCAAAGGCCGGCAGGGGCATCTCCTCCTGTGGGGAGCCTCCTGCACTGCTCACAGAGCAGCATTCCCCATTGGGTTGTGGAGAGCGACTGCCAGGGGCTGGAAAGCTGGCTGAATCACCTGGAGCATCCCCACTCATGTCCACATGCACAAATACATCCTCAGCCAATGGGCGTCCAGCACTGCCTGACTGGGCTGAATTGAGCAGGAGAGACTCCGGTTTCTCCAAGACCCGGGCAATGACTGAGGTAGGCACCACAGCCCCTGCGGCCAGGCTGGAAGAAGGGCTGGGGCTGGCAGCCTCTTGGCCACTCCGCAGATGTTTTCTAACCATGTCCTGCAGCTCACAGGGCAGCTGGAATAAGAGGAGGGGGAGAGACAGGAATGAGCCCTGCTGCAGAGAGCCTGACCCATGGCAACAACAGCCACGTGTCAGGGTCAACAACAGCCACCATATCCTGGCTAATCCTGTGCACTCAGCTTTTAAACTTCTACACAACCTCACTTCACAGAGGAAAAAAAGTTGGTATGGTATTTAACATAAAGTTAATGAGCTCTACTGCTAAGACCTGCGAACACTGCAACATCTAGTCCCTGTCTCAGGCAGCTTCACCAAAATCAGACTTGAAGAGCTGTACCCTCTACAGACCTGCGAACACCTCCAGTTCTGCAGGCCAGCGAGGCATTGGGCTGGAGGCTTGGAGGCAGAGGCTCTGCCCCTGAGAGGGGTGGGATCAGATGGGCTTTAGCTCTGGCCACCCCTTCTTCCTTCACAGGCTCCTCAGACTCAAAGAGCACCTCACAGAAATACTAACAGAGCAGCTCCAACACTAGTAACGGGCCTCAGCGGTGCCCAGGACCATGATAGGGTTAAACAGCTTCAAGTGCAACCCAGGGCAAAAGGAAGGGGAATCAGAGTCCTAAAGGCAGGACTGATGCTAGCAGGTGTGTGTCACTCACATCAGCAAACTTGTGGTTCCGGAAGTGGGATTTGTTGCACTTGAGAAGCTGCACAGCCAAATTGCAGTCCAGCCGGTATCGTTCCTGCAGACACAGACTTGCTTAGAGCCCAAGCCACCCAAGGGGACAGGATGCAGTCGCGCTGAGGATGGGTACATACATTGAGCTCTTCCAGCTTATTGATGGTGTTCTTGGCATCCAGTAGCTTGTTAGTCAGCTCCACAATCTCCCAGTCCAGCGTCTTTCTATCCATCTCAGCCTTCTTGATCTGAAGCACAGACTTGTGGTAAAGGCAGCCCAGACTCCAGCCAGCCCGCCCCATCTACCACCTCCAGTCCAGACACAAGGCCACAGGCGCTAGGGCAGCCAAGGCAGACAGAGCAGACAGACGGTGACAGACAGGAGGAGACTTGGCCTTTCTCCTGCTCTGCAGGCTGCTTACGAGAGGGGGTTCTGAGAAGGACCTGATGCCACGGGAACCCAGGACAGAGGCAGTCTAAGAAACTACCCATCCTTTGAGGGAGCTTAAGTGACACTAGGCACCAGGCAAGGCACTGGCGTCTCAGAGACAGTAACTTCAGCCAGGGAGTAAAGCCTGTGTGAACAGCTGTTTCCACAATAAGCTAGGAGTGGGGCGCCTATGAGATTAGCTGGCTGGGCAGAGGAACTACAGGCTCAAGTAGATTTCTCGTCTTCAGTTCCCTTAGTGTATCCCTACGACCCAGGCTTGCTGCCACTCAGCTGGGAAGCTGGGAAAGCTCTGAGGGTTGCTATCAGCCAGTACCTCTTCCAGAGCAATGAGCAGAACCCCAGTTAGCCCAGGGTAGCACTGAATACTAACTGGGCCTCACAGTGATGAAGAAGAATGGATGTGCTCAAGGGGCAGAGGGAAAACAGCCAGGGCCCCACAATCCCTGATATGGACCAAGGAGGCCAGGACCAGGGGAAGAACACACAAACTCAGACGCAACTGCAAAAATCCAGCTGTGGCTAAGAGAGGCCTGAGAGGAGAATGCAGCAGCAGCGGTGGCAGCGTGAGGGGGAGACGAAGAGAGAAGAGAAACAGTGTGAGCATTAAGACAGTCCCACTGACAGAGCACACTGCAGTCCCCTCCCCAACACTGCCCTGCCCTGCCCCCCCAAGCCCCATGGTGAATGGCACCCCCATGGCAAGTCCTGGCCCACTGCTATGCTGTAGCACAGTGCCAGTCAAACTGCCCTTCCCAGCACAGTACCAGTGTCTGCAGCTTGTCCTCCAGCTCCTGGTTAGTCCGCTGGGAAGCTGTGTAACTGTTCTGCAGCCTACAGAAGGATACAAGGCAGAAAGCCTTGATCAAGATCCTGTTCTTCAGGCCCTACAAACCCTACTCTACATGGGGATCTGGGACAGTCCCTGGGTTTCTAAATAAAATCAGGTGGGATCTGAGGCTTATCCAGCTAACCTCCCATGAATGGGGAGGTATCTGGCCCTTATTCCCACACCTGCGGAACTTGTCTTTAAACTTGTCCAGTTCCTCGCGGCTCTGGCCTAACTCCAGTTCCAGGCAGTCTTGCCCTATTTCCAGCTCCCGCTCCAAGGCCTCGGTGCGTCTGGTGGCCGAGGCCAAGCGCCGGCGAAGCTCTTCATTTTCCTGCTGCAAAAGTCTGGGGTGGGGTTGGGGAGACGGACAGGGAGCCATCAGAGACAGCTAACCCTAGAGCACCAGACAGGACTGGGAAAGGAGACGACAGGCAGGTGGGTTGGGTCCCTTTAGCTTCAGACTAGCTAGGGAGACTCTTTAGATATAGCCTTCTGGCTTCAAGAAAGGTCTAGGTTGAAGATGGGATGGGGTGGAAGCAGAGTGCCCCACCCAATACAGAAGAATACTAGGTCAGAACAAAAGGTCACAGCTCTCAACCTGCCTCAAGTTACCACCCAAGCCAGTAGGCCACCAAGCCTTGCAGCTCCAGTTCCCCCACTTCACAATCAGGCTTTTCCATTATTAATCTCTTGGGAATTCAGGCCAACACAGTCATTCTCCAGGGGGCCTCAATGCTGACAGGAAGGGCCTTAAGAGGTAGCTGGCACAGGTGGGTCACTCTCTAGAGCCAGGAGCTGGGCAAGGGCAG